ATTTTACTATTAATTGAAATCATATGAAAAATATATATGAATAAATTATAAATTTGCAGATCAAATTGAATATTATCTATGATAGATTCATATTATGAAAATCAAGATTCATATATTTATTTTCATATAATAATTGTATTCATATAGAATATAATATAGCAATTCTAGCTTTGATATTTATATTTTTTAAATTTCATATATTTAGAGCAAACAATACTATATCTAAAATTCGAGATATATGAAAATTAATAATTTGAAATTCTGTATATAGAAACTCTCGATTTAGGGTCGTTCGAAAAAATGAGCAATATCTCAGTAATTTTTTCAGAAAAGATACTAGAATCTAAATTTAATATTATATGCAAATCAAAAAATATATTTAGATATATATGAGAAGCACGCAATTAATATATCCAAAAATATCAATTAAATATGAGATAAAGAATAGCCACGAACAAGAACCAATAAAGAAATAACAAGAATCGACCTCTTCAAGATCTCGTCCCATGCGTTGAAACCCAACGCCACCCGCCAATTCGAGGGAAACTCGTAAAGATGGATTAAGACAGAGAGATGAAGAAGATACGACAATAATATAAGAAAGAGACTACGGATTACCTTAAAATTCATCCAACAGCGAACGAAGAACAGTGGAGCCGATCGACTCCAGGGGGCAATTAAAATATCCTATTAGAAATTTAATAGAACTATCCTACGTCGAGAATTATATTGAATTCAATTATGAAATGACCTCTATAAGAGCAATTCTTCCAATAACTACGGAAAAAATGCACTAATATATATTCAAAGCTCCATCCGAGCTTCTATAGAAATCGAAAGAAAAATTTATCAAATAAAGATATATAATATTATCAATATCAGATTATTATTTATAATAAAAAAATTATATAATAATATTCAATCTTCATAATATTAAAACGATTGTTAATTGCAAATATTCAATAATTATAAAAATATAATGAATATATTTTTAAAATCAAAATAAAAATAATAATATATATTTCGAAAAACTTAAGCATCCTCATTTTTATTAAGATTTTATCAGAATATTTATAGAAAAAATCTTAAAAAAAGTTTGACTATCGATGAGAATTCATCTTAAATAATTTAATAAATTTCTTATCTTAAGAAAATCTTATCTCTCTCGTTGAATAAGAAATATATTTAAATAAGAATATCTAAATATTTATTTTTTAAATATTTATATTTTTTTTTATCTCAATCCATAATTCATGAAAAATACCAATAGGATCTATCACCTATATCTTCTTTTTAAATAATTATCTATCTAATTTGAAGATAGATGGGTATTAGTATGTATCTGGAGCGAAGACTATCCCCTTGAGTTGTTCCCGAGTTTGTGATTGAAGAAAAAGCGTCTTTCGGTATCCCGAAATGATTGAGTCGAGGGCTTGCGGCTGAAGTGCTGCGAAATGTTGAAGCGGCACTAGACAGTCTAAAGATAGATGTGGGCAAGTTTAGCTAACATGCTCAGGTCATTGGGGAAACGCATTCTATTCTGCAGTGCAGCTACACGAATGTGCTCTTCGGCATCAGTGTCGGCGAAGCTCTCAACACATGCGACAAGATACAGCCACGGCATTTACAGTTATTTACAGCTCTCATGAGCTGAAGCGGCATCGGACAGGTGGGCTTTCTGGTGCTGTGGTCACTTCGAGCTTTTCCAATCCGCGAAAACAATAACTCCAGAGTGCAACGTTGACCAATGCGGGCTCCAAAGCCCGATCCCGCGCAACTCCGTAACTCAAGGCTCCAACGAAGCCCGAGCACCGGCAGTCCGCCCTGCTTCCACATTTTTCCATGTCCCTCACTTAGTTGGAGCAGCGCTGTAGAACGTTGTATCTTGCGGGCAACCGGCTATCCGTTTATGCAGAAACAAGCGGACTGCAACAAAAAGCCGCAGGAGCTTTGCCCGCGATGCTAGGTCTTGTTCATGATCTTTCTGCGTGGGGAAGAGTCATGTGTACTACGTTCTCTCCGTTCAGCCCCATACATCGAATATGACCCGTCCCTTCTCCTGCAAGTCCGTGAGCTTTGTGAAGCCTGTAGACGCATCTCCTTTGTCACCTTCGTGTCTAAGGACAAGTAGGAAAAATCGGGCTCATATAGCTTGGCACCCTTTAGCACTTTGTCTTAGCCAAAGAGAAGGCTGTGTCAAGTCCAATCAAGTCAAGTTGCTGAGCATGTCAACCAAGACATTGGTAACATCCTTGGCCAAAGTGGAGGCAGAGCCACAGATGTAGAAGTATCCACTTGCATCGCCGTCATCCAGAAGTCTCAAAATCTCTGCAGAATTCCTTCGAAGAGCATGATACACGTATTCTTTGGAACTTCCATCCGTTGGACGCGAGAGGGACAGCTTTAGCGAGCAGAGACCCTCCTCGTGCCATCGCTGCAGCAGCTTTTTATGCAGAAAATCCGAATCATTCCGACACCCGAAGTATAGGGAAACCAGTCCTGTCTGTATGCCCTTCTTTCTGCAGGCCTCTCTTTCCTGCAAGAAACCCAGGAAAGGAGCGACTCCTGTGCCTCTGCACACACAGGCAATGGGCTTCGTTGGATCTGGCGGGAGTCGCATGTGCGGCGCTTCCTTGATCTTGCAGATCACCGATGTGGCTCCTGCCAGCATGGAGGAGCAAAGGCCCTCTCGGATACTTTCTTGACCGTTTGGCGAGGCCGTGTATGTCGCCACACGGCAACAGAGCTCCACGTTCTTGCCGCGGGACATGGGGGAGGATGCAATGGAGTAAAGCCGCGATTGCATCTTCGGAGCCACTTCCACAAACCTGCTCAAAGTCACCTTCAAGGAAGCATACTCCTCGAAGACGTCCAAGATTGAAAGGTGACTCTTGCTCCAGCGATCGTACTCCGAGTCTTCTTTGGTCAAAGTGAGCAGCTTCATCTTGGCGGCCTGAAAACGGGGGGACGGGGGGAGGGGGGCAAGATGCGGAATGTGGAGACCGGCGGAGGACGGAGGACGCGCCTCGCTGGCATTGGCCACGTGGGGGAGGAGCGAGGCCAAGGTCTCCTGGGACGGAAGCGCGGAGAGGTCAACGTAGTAGGAGAGGATCTCGCCGATGGCGATGGGCCTTCCTGCGTGCAAGATGGCAAGGTGCAGCTGCCTAAAGCGCTGAGCTCACCTCCCTGAGCACCGAGTCACTTAGCCACTTCTTGTGTTTGGACTTCCTCTGTCTCTGTCTCCCCCTTCCACGCCTGAGGGCAGCTCCTCATCCTTTACGCCCGTCACGACCACCAAAGCATCGGATTGGACTCCGAGATGGTGACAGCAGCGGAGCACCTCAGAGAGAGAGCCAACGCATCGAAAAAGGGAGCCTCCCCTGTTGGTCTCGGCTTCTCTGAGCGCCACGGCCCGTGCTTCTGCGTTCCTGCGAGAGAGAGGCAGCAAGCAGAGAAGTTGGACGCTCCGAAAGGCTCCGAAACGCTCCGAAATGCTCCGAAGCTCCTGGGGCGCACTTCCAGGTGGTCCCCACAAGCGTAGGAACAGCCATCGGGTCGTTCAATCACAATTTGCCGCACAGAAGGGCTGCTTGCGTCGCTTTGTATGCAGAGCTCCTGGCGGCCGGCGCTTGCCCCCGAGCTGACTACGCCAAGCTCGCTTCTGCCAGCAAACTGGCGGCCTCGTTGATGCTGACAGCGCACGTCGCGTAGCCAAGCCTGCACATGGGCATTGCTGCGGTGCGGTGACACGCCACGCCACGTCACTCCACGCCAGTTACAAAATGAAAGGCTCACAGTCTCAGTCTCTGTGGGGGGGGGGGCCCGGGGGCCTTGCCTTTCGGTGAAGTGGGCTTCCAGCGTCGCCGGCTCAGCGGCGCCCTGCTCGCAGGGCTCCAGGCTCAGCAGCTCGGGCAGCGCCTGCAAAGGGAGGACCGGAGGAAGTTTGCGGAACGCGAGCGGCGATATCGGTGGACGGAGAGCGGTGGACCGCGTGGCAAACAGCGGGTGCTCGCCTCGACGTGGCTCTGCCCTTCGCTTTCCTTCACGAGCTCTTCGGGAGACGAGGCAAACTGAGCGAAGACTGCCTGAGCGACCGCCAGCCGTGCTTTGCAACGTGACTCTCGTGAAAAGTGCGCATCTTTGTCTGCTCTGAGTTTTATAGAAGTCTTCTGAAGAAAGACGTGGAAAGACGAGTCGCCTTGCGCCAGGTTCGCAGCTGGCGCTCGAAGACATCGTTCTTGTCAGCCGCCTCTCCACTTTAAAGCACCGCCATCGATCCATGGGCTCTGTGCCCCCCCACTGTACACGAATCCCTCGGCTGCCTCCAAAGGCAGCAGCCGGTTTGCACCAGCGCGGAGCATCAGCTTCTCCACATCTCTTGCGGACTGGCGACACGACGAAGCGCACATCTGCGACAGCCTCCCAAGAAGCTCTGGAGCCTTCACGAAGGTGGACACCCAATTGGAATTCCCGACCTTCGCTTAAGCGAAGGGAGCCAGTGACCGAAGCAAAGGGTCCACGAATAGTAGAGGCCGAGCAACACCGAGCACGGCAAAGCTGAGATTCCTCGATCCTGACTTCACGGCACAGAACCGAACCGCAATGCCGAAAATCTCAAGATCTCAAGTACAAGTCGGCAAGGACCGCAAGGACCGCAACTCGGGGGAAGGGAAGGCGACCTGAACTCGCCAAGTTGCCCTCCTCGCCCGCAGGGACTTCCGCGAGTTCCTTCAGGAAGTTCGCAGCGTTCCTCACAGGGGCACCAAGCACTGGAACGAGCGCGCCGTCTGGGACAAGGTCTCTGCTTGTCGGCAGGTCTTTTTGAAGCCAAGCTGCGGTGGTGGGTGGCCATTGTATCTTCGAGGCCAGGAAGCGGGATTCAAACGCAAACAACTTCACATGGCAAAGGAAGGCTACCGAGGAGCGTTGCCACAAGGACCAAGACGATGGGAACTTCACCAGTCTCAGATTTGATTTCCCCAGCCAGCAATGCAGCTGGCCTCACCTTGCTTTTCACTACTGGCAGTCACTAGCAGCCCTGTGGCGCCATGCTTTTGCGCCTCATCCAGGGCTTTCAATTCCACTGGAAATTCCCGCTGCTTCGCGGCGGCCACGAGATCCTGAGCAGCGTTCAAGGTCGTCCCGAACTCGCCACCCCACCTCAGCGTGCAGAGCGTCAACGGACAACGCGCCCCCCCTCCGAAAAGGAATCTTGCGACTGGGGCACAAGACGAGCAGAGCGGGCCGTGGACCGCCGGAGCATACGGACGCTGCACGGCCTCGCAAGCAGGCATCGCGGGTGCAGGCCTAGCCGAGCACATGAGGTTGGGAGGCCAGGATGTGCGGGCTCGCGACTTCGTCTGGAAAGGAAGGACCCTGCGGCGGCTTGAGGTGCGGTCGCAGAATCAAAGGCGTCCTCGTGGAGTGCTCCTGGGCTTCGATTTCTTCACGACACACTCCCGGCACACCGGAAGTGTCCCGCTCTGTTCTGCCAGGATGCCGACGCCAGCAGCAAGGTCTGCAGCCGCCGGCTCGTCATGCTCCCGGCTCGTAAAGTTCATCCACACGCCGCCACCCCTCGCACGCGCACAAAAGCCGGTTGCCCTCTCTCTCTCTCTCTCTCTCTCTTTCTCTTCCTCTCATTTTCTCAAAATGCTTATGAGTAGCGCCCCTCTGTGCGCTCGCTCTCGCTCTCTCCCTCTCTCTGTGTGGGACGTGTCGGATCCACCGGCCACATGGGCCTCCCTTAATGTCTGGGCTTTGTGAGGATGCGAAAACGTGTTTGGGTTGCAATCTGCGAAACGAAACAGAATAAGACATGTTTCAAAAGGTTGCAACATGTTTCCACAAACGGCCTGACACCTGCACAAGCACAATGGTAAAAGGTGGAGGGGCGACCTCCAACCCGCACACTCCAGGTGCCCCAGTTCCCTCTCTTTCTTTCCTTGCAAAATTCAACAGTACAAGCCACACTATCCAAAGCAACCAAGATCAATCACTTTCCCCACAGTCAGGCACTCAAGCAGACATTCCTTTGTGATGTCAGGCCGATCTGTCCAGTCTTGAGCCAATGCCATTCGGCATCAGAGCATTCATAAAAGCATTACGTTCATTGGGCGCATTCTTTGGATGGTTATATCTATCACTCCTTCTCCCGCGACCAGGCTACAGGAAAGGAGCAAGCTTCCCCCCCATGCGAGCGTGCACCTGCTAGTCCAGGCAAAGATTCGACGGAGGTGGCTGTACATTGGATCGTGGCGCAGGTTAGAGGTGCACCCCACCCCAGCAAAAGCTCAGAACACATAAACGGTACCAGTTTGTCTCACATGTTCCCCCGAGGAGCACCATCTCCCCTTTGTATGTCTGTTCTCTACCTTCGGAAGCAGATCTCTCTCCCGCTCTCTCGCTCGCTCTTTTTCTTTCATAGGGCATACGGGGCGTGTCAGACCCCCTGGCCTTGTGGCCCCCCATGTGTTATGGGGCGGCAGGGGTAAAAGTAGTTGAGGGTATGATGTCTACGTGAGAGGTCATGACGAGTATGATATTTAGGCAAGATGGATATGATATCTACACAAGAGCACAAAAAATGACCCCCGTAGACAGTTCCCCCTCTCAGTGCGGGACACCTACATGCAAAAGGCGAAGATGTGCAGCCAAGTTCATTGTAAGCAAAACAACTGATATGACAGGTCTTTCTTTCGCCAGGGCTAGGGTGTAGGGGTTTGACCCCCTACACCGCGCGCGTCAAGCGCCCCCGACAGTTGCGGGTGCCAGAGGAAAGACGTGCGCACACCACCAAGGCAGATTGACGAAAGGGCAAGCAAAGCAACACGGAAGCAAGGTCATTGCGAACCTGCCTCGGTGGGTGGCTTGAAGCGCAGGGTCATGACATGCACAAAAAGGCGCTGTAGAGATGAGTGCTTAGGAGGCTCCGCGGCCCGTCATGGAAAAGGAAAGGAATTGCGGGGTTTGCCCGGTTTTTAAACGTGGTGCGCGTGCCTCGGGTGGAGGCTGAAAACGAGAGAGTTTGCAAGGCTCCAGCGGCCCGTCAGAAACTAGTGTACAGATCGAAGGATCGAAAAGCGGGGTTCCCCCCTATGTTACAAATCCCGGATGGAGAAGAGGTACTATTCGTACCGGAGAAAAGTCGTCACTGACCCCAATTAGGAAACACGGGCCAAAAATCCCCGAAACAGACCAGGCAAAACCAGAAGGCCCCGAACAACAAACCAGCATTTGACAGTGCCCATGTTTCGCTGAAAAGTGCACGAAAAGCCAGGGGGTTGTCCCCTTTTTCATTAGCGCCGCTCAGTTGGTAGTGCTGCTCGTGCGCGGGTGACCCCGCTCAGCAGTCTTCGTCCTAGTTCACGCAGACCATCAGGCATCACTCTGCCTTCTCTTGTCAGGCTTCCAGTCTCCAGCACGTCGTTGGCTTTTTCGGCTAAGCGACTCCTGCACGGCACTGTCGATCTTTCTCTGACGGATAAAGGCCTGCATCTCCCTCGCATCTTCACTGTGACACCCATGCAAGATGCACTCAGGATCGGAGCGGTTATGTCCCCCGTGAAAAGGGTTGCCCCTTATGCATCTAAGGCACTTCGGGGTGTTCCCCGGCTGGTTTGCCATGAGGCAAAAGCGATGGCACAGATATTATTCTCAGCGGCGA